TGTATTGGAAGCCTCACACATTTATCATTCAAGTGTTTCTTTGTATTGGAAGGCTCACACATTTATCATTCAAGTGTTTCTTTGTATTGGAAGGCTCACACATTTATCATTCAAGTGTTTCTTTGTATTGGAAGGCTCATACATTTATCATTCAAGTGTTTCTTTGTATTGGAAGGCTCACACATTTATCATTCAAGTGTTTCTATATATATATATATATATATAAAGTCTGTTACAAGTTATTTTGAAGAACTGGCTGAACCACTTTTGATGAAAATCAGTAGAGGAACTAGTTTAAATAGGATGAATAGTTTGGCAGACACTTGTATTCTACCATTTTAATGCCATCAATAAGGGCTTAACTGGGTGCGGAGAATGGTAACAAAATACTAGGAGCTGATGGCAAATAGAAACATATGTCCCTTGACCTTAAACAAAAGGTTCAACTGCTACTATTGAATTACCCACAACCACTTCCATCATTACATTATCAGGTACCTTTGCTAGTGTACATGTGTATGTGTATAACCTAGAATTTTAGTATATTGTTTTTTAAATTTTAATCAAGTGAAATTGTACACACCTGAGCTTTAAGAATTGACCACTAAAGGTCCAAAAGAAAAAAAAATAATAATGGAAAAAGTAGACTAAGGAAATATGTAAATAATAGTGAAGCAATGGGGTAAAAGTATAAAATATGTCTTGTAAGTAACTCCTGAAGATGATGTAGATCACATCAAAATTAGTACATGTAGAGTGTTGTGGAAGCTGTATGGCTTCAATAAATTGTGTAAATAGTAAACATTGTTTTTAATTATTTATTATGATTTTGACTTGAAGATTGTAGATTTTGAATACATAGATAATTTTATTCTGCTGTGGGTGCTGTTTTTTATAAAAATGCTAAATATTATAAATTAGACATTTTTTTTAACTGTTGAGTACTTTATTTTGTATAATTAAAATATACTTAAAATTGTATTGTATTTTGGTAGTTAGTCATAAACATTCATGATATATTAGAGTTCAGTGCTGTTCTGCATTTCAGCAGATTTCCACCTATGCAGTACCAAGGTGTTCCCCGACTTCACCTATGCGGTACCAAGGTGTTTCCCGACTTCACCTGTGCGGTACCAAGGTGTTTCCCGACTTCACCTGTGCGGTACCAAGGTGTTTCCCGACTTCACCTGTGCGGTACCAAGGTGTTTCCCGACTTCACCTGTGCGGTACCAAGGTGTTTCCCGACTTCACCTATACAGTACCAGTGTTCCCTGATTTCACAATTACATTTTGTTAAAGATCGAACAAACATGCACAAGTGACAGTCACCAGAAAATAAAAGCAACAGTTTCAATGTACTTGTATTGTTAAGTTAATTTAAAACAAAGATTTACATCTTGGAGTTTTAACAGTTTAGCACGTACTAACAGTTACTTGATATGCTCTTTTATATAGCTTATACCAGGATTTTAACTATAATACAAAACATGTTTATCTTACCAAGGGTACTTAACATTGCAATTCCAAAATTCAGATACTACTTACTGTTGTAAATAAAACTTTTTATTTTTATAAAAATAACGTAACCTTTGAACATTAGATAAATCTATGTTTGTCCCATTGTTAAAGAACTTTAAGAAGTCACTATATCTAACAAATATTTCAGTCATGTTACTACATGTTTATAAATGAAAAATTGTTAGATCTGTGCTCAAGGTTAAATCTAGATTGCTCTGGCTCTTTTCTGATTTGGATCTTAAGCATTGTTTTCATTGTTGTATTATTGATACCTCCATCTTTCTCACTGTAGAATATACAAGTCCTGCAAATTTTACATTATTTAAAAATTCAGCTTGTAATTCATCATTAACAACTTTAGAAATATAATGGCAATAGGAATCATTTAGTTGACATTAATTTGTTTGTTTTATTTTTTCTTAACAAAATTCTCCATACTGAGTCTCCTTTTGGGTTAGTTTTAGTCATTTGTTGAAATTTCAATCAGTCAGGTTGGAATTGAAAACTTAAAGATTACTTTGTAGTGCAAAGACTTTGTGAAGGCTGGAGCAATTCAAGGACAGACTCCGAGTGATGTAGTTGCTGCATCAGACATCACGTTCAGTTGTGTATCTGACCCACAAGCAGCCAAAGAAGTAATTATATTTTATGTTCATTTATAACTTAATGGTTTAGAATTAATGAAGTTAAAGCAGTATAAAGTTCCTAAAAGGATTCAAAAGGTAAAGGTGATGGTTTTAATGATCTATTTAATAAACTGCCTAATGGTAAAGGTGATGGTTTTAACGATGTATTTAATAAACTGTCTAAAGGTAAAGGTGATGGTTTTAACGATGTATTTAATAAACTGTCTAAAGGTAAAGGTGATGGTTTTAATGATGTATTTAATAAACTGCCTAATGGTAAAGGTGATGGTTTTAATGATGTATTTAATAAACTGCCTAAGGTAAAGGTGATGGTTTTAATGATGTATTTAATAAACTGCCTAAGGGTAAAGGTGATGGTTTTAATGATCTATTTAATAAACTGCCTAAGGGTAAAGGTGATGGTTTTAATGATCTATTCAATAAACTGCCTAATGTGATAGTCTATTATGTTTTTGCACAAGATTATTTACTGTGATATTTCTATATTTATATCTTTTACTGATTTAGTATGTGTTGATGAATGTTGGATTGCTTTGATTATCAGTAGATTGAAAATATACTAAATGTGTTAGTATACAAATGACATCTTGAAAGTAGTAAACAGCAACTAATTTAAAAAATAAAAACCAATAGTTATGTAAGTTTGTACTTTTAGACATCAGACTTAGTAATAACAGTATTTTAATGCTTGTGTGGTCAATGGCCTCTAATGGTAAACTTAACAGTATGATAGAGTTTCTGTAACCGTTAGTGGTAAACTTAATGGTACAATAGTGTTTGTGTAACCACTAATGGCAAACTTAACAGTGTGATAGAGTTTGTGTAACCACTAGTGGCAAACTTATCGGTACAATAGTGTTTGTGTAACCACTAGTGGCAAACTTAACGGTACAATAGTGTTTGTTTAACCACTAGTGGCAAACTTAACGGTACAGTAGTGTTTGTTTAACCACTAGTGGCAAACTTAACGGTACAAAAGTGTTTGTGTAACCACTAGTGGTAAACTTAACGGTACAATAGTGTTTGTGTAACCACTAGTGGCAAACTTAACGGTACAATAGTGTTTGTGTAACCACTAGTGGCAAACTTAACGGTACAATAGTGTTTGTGTAACCACTAGTGGCAAACTTAACGGTACAATAGTGTTTGTGTAACCACTAGTGGCAAACTTAACGGTACAGTAGTGTTTGTGTAACCACTAGTGGCAAACTTAACAGTACAAAAGTGTTTGTGTAACCACTAGTGGCAAACTTAATAGTACAATAGTGTTTGTGTTACCACTAGTGGCAAACTTAATGGTACAATAGTGTTTGTGTTACCACTAGTGGCAAACTTAATATATTCTAGTGTTTGTGTGAACACTGTGTTCAAATGCAAGTAAATTGCAGCTAAATGTGACAACCACTTTTGTATTGTACTGCTTTTCTCACTACTGAATTGGGGTTACCTAAATGTAAAAGTTGGATAAGTATTCTGGAACATGTGTTGTGTGCTTCTGTGCTAGAGTATTCTGAATATAATACACTTATGTTTAGTAGTGTGTACATGTTTCACTGCTGTATTAGGTTCTACTGAATTGAAGCTTATGTGAATGTGATGAACTGAACAGTATTTGAGTACCTGTTTATTGCTTTTGTAAAATTGTTGACAGTTTAACCCACAGAAGTGCTGTTTTGAAAATTAAAAAAGTTGGTTTAACGAACAGAATTACTTGTGAATTTGTTAGGAAGCATGTTTCAGGGTAAACTTTGGGTGATATTTTGCTATGGGCCCCTCAGACATTGAGAGAGAATTTGTGTATGTGTTCTAAATTAGTGAAAACTGACATCTTTTTATTTAACTACCATATACCATACAAAAGTACTTAAATTAAGATTGAACTTTATTTGTAGTTACACTAGAATATACATTCACAGATTTCTACAAATTAAATGTCATTGTTGATGAATTGAACAGCCTTATGGTAAAGTTTAGTAAAGTAAAAATATAAGTCTAATATTTCAAATTACAGGTAAAACAATTTAACACAACACCATATCTGAATCTAAGACATAAAGTTGTTTTATATTGTAGCAGCTAGGTAACATGTTAACAATGCTAAGAGTTTCTAAAAGTGTGGATTGTAAATAATCGTAAAGGGCCAGGTTTTGAATAGTTCTGTTATTTAAGTATTGTCTGAATCTTAGCACAATAAACTTGGAATGAGATTAAATGTATTCCTCAGATTTGATTCATATTAGTACTTGCTGACACTGATTCCTTTATCTCGAATGTACCCATGAAGATGCAAGATATTAATTAAATTTTCCTGAATTACGTACATGGTAAAGATTTATTCGAACTTCAGATCTGTTGCTAGGAAGAAAGGTGATTTAAAATGTGTATATAAATTGACTAAATGGATCATTTATTTGTTTGTAGGTGATATAAGAGTTAAATAGTTCATGATGTTTGTTACGTAGATGGTATTTGGCAACTGTGGAGTTTTAAGAGAAATAAGGAGTAACAAGGGCTACGTTGAAATGACTTCCATAGATTCTGAAACTTCTCAGGACATAGCAGAAGTAAGTACAGTTGTGTATGTTACATTTCCAACAGTTTCTTGGTATGTTTACTATAAAATACTATATGTATGACTATGTGTAATATGGAGGACTATCAGAGACCTGCAAAACATTTGCAGTCATATTAGTATCTTTATTGCAACAGTACTCCTTTAAATACAGGATTTCTAGAATAATCCAAAAGAATTCTAATTGCAGACACTGAAATCTACAAGTCCACTTGTTTTAGGCCTAACATTAGTTAAGCCTTTATTATGTACAGCCTATAATCGATAATGAGATAAATTAACATGTAACTTGTGTATATTTTTTGCTTTAGTAAGGGTTAAACTTTACTGTACTTAACATCATCAAGTTATATAGCTTACTTTGTATACTGTGGATTTACCTCATTTTGTTGAAGATAGAATGAATAAAAGAATTATTTGTTTACACACAAGAAGTTAAGCCTCAGATTAAAATGTATACCCATAATAGCAGGGCTGACTGGTAAAATCTGTCTTGTCTAAAGGGAACAACTTTTAACATTATATATATTAGTTCATATGTTATTTGTAAATTGTATAATTCTAAATACTGTTTAAATTGTTTTTTTATCTAAATTCTGTATGAGAGAGAAGTTGGTATAAAAAATTGAACACCTTGTTTTTTATCTACAGGCCATTCAACTAAGAGGAGGACGTTACCTTGAAGCACCTGTATCAGGGTCCAAAAAACCTGCAGAGGAAGGAAACTTGGTTATATTGGCTGCGGGCGAGAAGTCTTTGTTTGAAGATTGTGGCAGTTGTTTTCAGGCAATGGGAAAGCAGTCTTTCTTCTTAGGTGAGGCACAGGTCATTTCTGTTTGTACTGTTAATGTTTTTCCTTTGGAAGAGATGGATTAATCATAATGCAACACATTTTCTTGCATATAAAGATTACTGTATATTTGACCAACTTACAAGTTTGTGTGATATTGTATGTCATACTTTTTATATAATGCTATATATGGTATTATTTGTGCACTTTCTATTTATATAGTATATATTTTGTATATACTATTTGTATCAAATATTGTTATCATTTTCATATAATAGTTGTAAAAAGTGTATCTTAACTCTTTCAGCATGACCTCCTAACCATTTTGTACTTATTATAATTTTCATGCTATAACTTTTAAATTAGTAAGCATATGTTAATGAAATTTGACAGATTATCAGTAAACATTACAATGATTTCATATACAAAATATCAATTTTTTTTAAGTTTTAAGGTTTGTAAAGCAATGTTTTTCTCATACCTTTTTCTTCTTTTCGAATGTTGCCTATCCAACATGCAAAGTAATTTTCATTTTAAGATTATTTTCAAATTTCACATGTGAAATCTTTATAGTGTCCAGATAGTTATCAAATATTTTTTTAAAAAAAT